AATAATAAGTTGATCGTGCGAATGTAATTAGATGGTGAGTTTATTCTTTCGTGAATTTGCATTTTAACGCGCTTTACAACTTTATCAAACAATAGCGTTGCTAGGCAGGAAATGGGATCGTTTCATAGCGATATGGAAGTCACGACGATAGATATGTCGTTAACGTCTCTCGTCGGTAGAGATTCTCGTCGGTACGGAAATACGTTATAAACAAAGATAAACAGCTTGGAATAATGACTTGTCGATATTTAATATTATCTTTTATGATAGTTACGAGTATCGAGTTTTCGAAGATGAACATAACGAATCCCACGGTGAACAATTACGATGTCGGCGATTTATAACGGAAATACTAGAAATAGCAAAGTTGCTCGTTAATGCAACGCGGCGTGGACGTGTTACTGGACAATGCTATGAGGAAGACGAGATCGTTTTGCGATGATAAAGAGGAGGGGGATTGGCTAGGACGAGAAGATCGACCATGTGGTTACATTGTGGAGAAGAAGAGACTGCACGAGAAACAGAGCTCGGAACCACGGTGCATGAACAAGCTTACTGTGATTTTCACGGTATCGATTACGAATGATTTACGTTGTCGTTTCTTTCGTACTGACGCGATAGTGTCCTGCGCACGCGATCATACGTAAGTGTTTGCGTTAGTCAGATTTCGCAGTCAAGATTATCGTCAAAATTAATGGATTACCATTTAACCTCTACGTTGTTTTATCTTTCGTTTCAACTTTTTCTAGGATTACCATTTAACCTCTACGTTGTTTTATCTTTCGTTTCAACTTTTTCTATTTCTTTTTTCTCTTTGTTGTACTTAAATTGGTTATTTATATTCGAACTCGTTCGAACTTTTATCATCGCCATTTACCAGTATTCCAAATTAGGTTAAAGGGAATTATCCTATTTTATGTATATAGGCACTTGTACGTGAAAGATCGTCGATTCATTTGTATATAACCAATGAGCACGTGAATCATGAATAAACCAAAGAGCATGTATAAAAATATAAATTCCGGTTCTGGATTATCAGTCGATTATTCATAGACATGCTCGCGCGGATTAGTCGAGTCGAACATAAAATTGTCGATCGACTACCGTGAAAATTTCAAAGTACATCCTACGTGATACGTGATCTTTTCTAAATGAAAGTTGATGAAAAACTATCTTCGGTATCGATAAATTAGCGATAAGCGACTTAATTATCTTACCTCGAATCAAATATTTTCAAATACCTGGCGACTATTGATTATATTCTTGTAACCACAACGTTCATCCAATTCATCCAACCTACCGTTTTTCCGCTCGTGTCTCCAGGAATAGCGGCTAGGAAACAAGAACAAAAGCCACAGTCCCGTACATTGTTCATTTTATTTATGAGCCATGGTTTATTCGTATCAAATCGTTCCGGTTCGTTAAACAGATCCTTATTCCACTGTTATCGATCTCAAAGAGAGTTGGATGCGAGTCGGTCGTCTCTCTCTTTCTCAGCTTCTCATGGACAAAAATCCAAGGAGCACCAGCATCCACCCGTGGTCGGTGTGCATCCTTGCCGTGGTTCACCGACCCGCATATTTCTCCTCCTCCTCCTCTCCCCCACCTCTTGTCACACTCGCTCCTTCCCTTACCTCGTTCACTTCTCGTTGGAGGAAGCGGCGGCGCGCATCCATTGTGCACCATCCTCCGCATGCATGCATGCATGCATGCACGCGTGCACGAGCTTGGCTGCGCGAGCCGTACAACTTCTACGGGGATATAATTTGATCTACATTGTTCGCCAATCGCCCCCTGGCCAGACTGGTCACTCCAGTTATTGCCATAATTGATTCACTTAATCGCGCTCGTGGGAGTGACGGACACCTCCTTCGGCCTCCCGTCTATCAATCTCGCACGTCCATTCGAAACGATTCGATTCTCTCTTTCTTCGTTCCGTCTTCTTTCAACTCCTCTCGTCTCGTACGCGTGAAAATTATCATCCAATTCTTTCTTTCTTTCTTTTTTCTCTCGCGATTAAATTAGAATCACGTTTTAAAAGATGTTGAAAGGTTCTAAGACACGTTCTATTTAGAAACAGAAATTCAATTTAGATACACGTATGCGCGTACATCGTGGCCAAGTATTAACAGATATCGTTCGATAAACGTTGATTGTCGTAATTTCGGAGAGTTTTACGCTCGTAAAACGCGCTTATCTCGGACTGTATTCGGTTATTAGCGTGCTTTGACTCCCAACGAAGCAGGAAGAAGCGTAACTCGTTTATTACACGGAAAAAGGGTATAATATTGGCGATGTTCGCGGCGTCTTTGAAAGAGGAGTTGCGGCTGACCAGGAAGACCGTTCTTCTATGATACAATGCGTATCGGCCTATCTCGTTCACTTTGTAAATTTGATTTTTTTTGGATTCAGGCGAATTACCGTCGCAGCCGAACGGTATATCGAATCGTTCGCTTCGATCGGCCGTAATTCCAGCAAATTGTATCCCGCGGAGAATTCTGACTCGATTGTTACGCGAACAGAGATGTCCTAGGTATGTGGAAATTTTTTTTTCGGGAAAATTCATCCCTTTCCTCTACGAGAGATACGAATATGAGATAGGATAGAAATATGAACCATCAAATAAAGATTTTGACAAATAATTGTACATTATTGTTCATACACGATACGTAGTATCAATAAAATGTTACTTAAACATTTATATGGTAATTAAAATTTTTATTAGATTTTTAAGTTATTAGCGATGTTTTATGTTTGAAATAACTTTTTTCAGAATTATTTGTTTAAATTATTTATCAGATATTTGCTTGCTAATAATTGAATGTATTTTTCGTTGATTCTGATTAGATATCATTGCGCTGAACGTGATGATCAGTTTTCTTATTGTTTCTTGCGATAATTTCTTCTAAATATTAAACTTCCACAAATATCAAACAACGAGATCGATCTATCGAGTTTCGTAAACTTTAATTATATTATTGTATTTGTCATTTATTTGAAAGATAATTTTTAAAAAATAAATTTTATTATGCTACCTTTGTATGCATAATATTAATAATTAAAAAATGATGAAATTAATCCTTTTTCTAAACGAAAATTAAACTACATTTTTTACAGAATAAAATAGTTTGGATATTTTTGAACACAATTTATATATGCGGTTATAAATAAATTGTTTTAATTGTGATTGTTTTATTTAACATTATCTTTTATTATTCTTATACATTAATAAAATCTTTCTATCGATCATATACTTTAACAGTTTCACAATTTACTTCTCTTAAAAAATAACAGTGTATTAACCTTTTAATTTATTTAGAAAAAATAAAAAAGAAATTAAAAGTTCATAATATTTATTTTTACGTTCCATATGAAATTCTTCGAACTTTTTCATTTTTTTTTTACATTACTATTTTAAGACTCTCTACATCAAAAAATAAAATGGATATTCGTATTCTTTCTTCAATAAATAAATCTGTAGATAAATTATCGAATTGCATCGATTAAGCATGTATATTATTAGCTAGTTGGTAACAACCAGAACCAACAGTACCGGTGTTGCAGATCGTTTGAGATCGTACTTACCTGCTTTGCATCCCGTTTAACGTACGTGTTAGAGAAAAGCGTGTTAGAGATGCAAATTTTATACCTGCGATTTGTCGATTAGTCACATGAACGAGATTCATTTAAATTATGTACAGTAATCACGATTCGTGAATACATTCGAAGATTATTTTACAAAGAAATTCATCAAATTCGAAAATTCTGATAGAGTAAAATCAAAGTTGTCGACATTTTTAATACGATTTCAAAATTGTTTTTACAACAAAGTGATGGAACGCTGAACATTTTGTAATTCAAAATTTTCCTTTATTTTACACTCTGTTAAACAAAGTTGTGTATCCAAAGAGAATTAATTTGTGGATCGATTCAAAAAAAAAAAAAAAAAAATTGTTGGATTCATACATGAATCCATTATATACACTTTGCACAAATTTATCTCATTAAAGGTAGAATAAAACAGTGTTCGAACAGTTGCCAAATGTATGTATGCGTATCGCGACGATATCGCGCCAGTATCTTTAACTGTACACCCTGATTCTATAATTTGTTACATATTATGCGAGCCGGTGTAGAACGGCCATAGTAAATCCCGTGTGCTGTTGACCCGACGATCACTGGACCGAAACCAAGCCGGCGGACCCGGCGTGTTGCAGAGATATCCGCGGCAAGGGGTCAACAGGAAGTAATTAAAGTTTCGACAGAATCTCTCTCGAGGTTTAACCTCGCCATTACCGGTGGTATTGGTCGCCGCGAAAGAAAAAAAAAAAAAAAAAAAAAAAANAAAAAAAAGAAAGAAAAAAGAAAGAAAAAAGAAAAAGAGAAGAGGAAAAAAAAATCGCAGGACGAAGGCGGTCTCGCCTTCTTCCTTTCCGGTTTGCTCGATTATTTTTAACTCGACCTTTCACGCTCTCGCGAGATGAACGCGCGCACTCCGCAATCTCCACGCGCAGATCCGCTTTTTCGAGGCGATGCATCGCCGAGCAGGAACGATCCAGGCTCCGATTACCAATCTTTTCTTTCGATTCCTCGCCACTGTATTTATCTTCTGCCAGTCACTTTCTTTCGCGCGTTCAATCTTTCCATTGTATATTATATCCCTCGTTCAATAAAAGAACACCTTCCTCCATAAAGCAAACTGCGTAACGATATTTACAATACTCGTAATTTACAACGGTCGATGAAGTACTCGCGATGAAAAAAAAAAAGCCGAATTCGCGCGCGTTTGATGATATTTCCTTTCCTCCCGAGATCGAGGATTGAAGAAAGAATTGATTAATTTTTCGACAATATTTATAAATACTGTACTCGACAAAAACTGTATTCGCAAAAAGAAAAAAAAAAAATTAAAATGCGCGTATATTCGATATTTCTTTCTTTTTTCTCGAGCGAAGATTAAAAAAAAAATTGATTAATTTTTTTTATCGATGTCTACGCAGATTTAGCGATAGGCGCTTGCCCACGAATATGTCCGCCAAGCGGAGAGCCAGTATGCGGTAGCGACGGAGTGATCTACGCGTCTCAGTGTGAAATGCGGAAGAAGATGTGTGGAAAAGGTAAAAGGGCTTGTTTTAACTACGTAATAATAATTATGATTGGACGGCGCGTACGTTGCTTGCCCGTTCACCTTCGTTTACAACGTCCGCCGCGTTTCTTACGCGTTTCAAATTCTCATCCCTGGGATGCTATTTAAGAGTAGACGCATGTGACGCGTACCGAAGGCAGCGATAATTATCGACACTGAACGAATTACGCAGGCGTGACTATTGCCACGGAGAAGACCGCTTGTCTAAGATCGTCTGGAAGTAAGTGCGAGCATCGATGCCCTGGCGATCAGGATCCCGTATGTGGAACCGACGGCCGTACCTATTTGAACAAGTGTATGCTCAGAGTGGAGATCTGCAGAGTCGGTATCGAATTGTCGCATCTGGGCCCTTGCAACAACATCTCGGCGCACAGGGAAAACTGTCCTGTCTCATGCGATTTTGCACCGCTCGACGGGCCCATCTGCGGAAGCGACGGCAACGTTTACAAATCCACGTGTCAAATGAAGTTACTCACCTGCGGGTACGTCTGTTTACGCCGCCTTCTTTATCATCTCTGCCGAGATAAATGATCGATCGGTACGATTTTGATTTTTTTTTCTATCAGACAAGGCGTCGTGCGTACGAACAAGAAGCATTGTCAGACCACGAGGCATTGTCGTGAATCGTGTTGGCGCGGTGCCAAGCCAGCCTGCGGTAGCGATGGAATCCTTTATTCGAATACCTGTAAAATGCGAGCAAAGAATTGCGGGTAAGAAACGCGATCCTTGATTAAATTGAGGCGGCAAGCCAAAACTATTCGTTTTTTTTTTTTTTTTTTTATACCTGATCGATCGTTTAGCAAACACGTGTTCGAGGTGCCGATGTCATATTGCGTGTCGCTCGAGCGGACATCTGGTGGCCAAACCAACGCTTGTCCCTTGGATTGCAAAAACGAGCCAGAAGTGCCAACCTGTGGATCAGACGGGAGTATATATAGGAACGAATGTGAGATGCAAATGCTTAATTGCGGGTTAGTGTTAATTTTAATAAAATATTGTGGACTGTTTATAATTTAAGTTATTTAATTTTCTGTGTTACATGTTTCATTTCTCAGGCAAGCAAGAAGAAAAGTGACAGTAGTAGATTTTGAAAAATGTAAAAACCGTTTGACTAAGTGCACGAAACAGCAGCAAAGATGCGGAAACGATGTGGATCCAGTTTGCGGAAGCGACGCGAACACGTATCCGAATCAATGTCATTTAAACGTGGCAGTATGCTTGTAAGTCGTAAGAGATAATTATTTCTCAAAGAAGATCCATTCAAAGATAAATAGTTGTAGATTAATCGTTGATTCTTGACACGTTGTTATCGTTGCCTTTCAGGAAGGGCATTCAATTGGCTCACGTTGGAGAATGTACGACCTTGAAGGAAACCGAACAGTGCCCCGAAGATTGCAGCGAGGTACCCGAGGAACCAGTTTGTGGAAGCGATGGCAACGTTTATCGGTGATTAAGAATGTTATTTAAATTCCAGGCCATTTGCCGTTTTAGACTCTTTCCTTTAGGAAATTGCGAATCACAAATTATTTTGCTTATTGCAAAAAAAAAAATGAACTTTCTTCTTTTTTCTATCATTTTTATATCATTCCATTCTAATGACAAATATATTTTTCTTCAATATTAATTTTTAATATTAATCATATTTATAAATCATACTCGTATGTTTTTAGATCTCTTTGCCATCTACGACGGGAGACATGTGGTCAGAGGGTGGTTCAAGTGCCAGCACAACATTGTCGTACTACCGCGCTTTGCAATCAGATCTGTAGCGGAGAACGTCAATTTGTTTGTGGTTCCGACAACAAACTTTATCGTAATGAATGTGAGATGAAAAGGGACAATTGTGGGTAAGTAATAATTGCGTTTTTAATCGAATAAGTAGATGAAATGTTTAACGCATTCAGTAATGATAATTAAATGTTTCATTTAGGAAACACGTGTATGTAGTGCCTATGAAGAGATGCGTACAAGGCTTCTTATTCCGTGGTTGTCAAAAAATTTGCCCACCCTATTATGACCCTGTTTGCGGTACCGATGGTATGACCTACAGCAATGAATGTTTTCTGGAAATCGAAAACTGTCGCAGTCGAAGTATAGTCACGAAGAAGTATCATGGCGTGTGCGGTCAACCAACTGAAGAACCTAAGAATTATTTATATTAGTTTCGTGAAATTCGATCTATTTACATTTTTGTTGTCTCCTTTTCTATCTCTTTTTCTCTCTAAAAAAATATTTTCTTAAAAATGATCGATATTATTTTATATAATCGAATCAAATTTTTCGAGTAATTTTTATATCTGTTCTTTTTTGAAACGGAATTTTAATACTATTCTCTCTTTTCGAGAGAAAAATTATTCGACCGAGATTGAATTCTATTAAATTGCTCATTTGAACAACGTTGCAATTCGTAGACAAGTGATTTTCACGATATGCATTTGACAGCTCTTATCGTACGCGCAAGTATCCATGAATTATCAAATTTTTATATTTATTTCATATTTTTTATTCATTGAAAATGATGGATTCTTGCACGATACATATATTTTACATTCATAATAGGAATTTCGCGACGCTAAATCATGCGTTTGCGTAATTCGTTCGACATCTTCGCACATTATTCGCTGATTAATTCATTTTTATTTATTTTAGTATTATTCTTAATTATCATATCATCCTTTCATCATTTATCGCTAATACTACGTAACATGAATAGTTCCAAAATACATTTATATTCCAATTATTATAAGGAAGTACATATTTAATTATTATATGTACGTATATCCCTCTTTCTGACATGTGATTGTTTATACCATAATTATCTTATCATTGTATACTTTTATTTATTCAATCAAACATTTGACAATCCTTTTTGTATCGATATTAATATACATGCTTCAAATGTCAATAATAAACTATATATGGATATTTTTAAGTAAAAAATAATATAATTATTCAATAATATTCTTTACGTCGATAAAATAATTATCAAAATAAGCGACAATAGATAAATAATTTAATTTGAAACGATATTATGCATGAATACTGATAGATGGCGTTAATATTTACATCGATGCGATTGCCGCAAGATGGCAGTAATATTCGCTGATATTGACAGGTGCTGAAGGAATATGGCGGCCAGTGTTTACGACAACTGATCGAAACCGATCGAATTTACGGATGAGTCGTGTGCTTCGCGTATTATTTACGATTTCTCTCCCGATACAGTGTTTCCGTTGATCTTTGAATCGTATGCCAAGCATCTGTCTATTTTTCGTTAAAAGAATTGAGTGTAAAGCTGATCCGATTAGTGAAACGAGCTTCTCGATCTTGAAAGTTTGAGATCAGGTGGTGGATTTTTCTTTGATACAGAAGTGCTTCCGAAGCGGATCACTGGAATATTACGGAATTCGTCGTTATCGTAAGTACCGATAATTAATCCTTATTTTATTTTTGATCAGACAATTGAAGGATCGTAATAAAAATAAAGTATAGTCAGTTAAATAATGTGTGGAAAACTTTGATAAGCGAAAGACAGAAGTGGCCATCTTTGAGCCTTCCTGTGTGTTAGTTACACCGGCGAAAAAGGATCACGATTATACGATTCGTGTTACATAAAATGATGCTGCTGTCGGATGACACATGGAATGTCTTGAATAATCATTATGTGAGAGAAAGGTTTTCCTTCTTCCGTATCTTACTATCCTATGTATCTTCTGAAAGTTGTCTTTAATCTATGCATATAATCTATCAAATACGTCGTATCATTTTCTATTTATCTTTATTTTCGATTTTTCGATATTGGTAAACTTTCATTCGAACATTTAATTATATATATAGAAATAGGTCATACTTTAATTTCACCGAATCATAATCTATTTTAATGTATTTTAGTTTTTTATTTTTATATGAGAAAGAAAAGGAATATTATGTTATTGTTATAATTTATTTCGATAACGTGAAGAATACGTGAATATTAAAATATTGATATTGTATGTCAAATTAAAAAATCATTAAATCGAATCTATAACAAACGGATATGCATGCCAAATATTTTGAGATGCGAATTTTTACAATATTCAAAATCGCGCGTTTTCATAAAATTATAATTGCAGAGTAGAAAAATTGTTTGATATAAACTGCAAACGTATTGTTAATCATAATCTAGATCTCTTGATATATTTATTTTCATCCATTTTTTATTATCTTATCGTTTACCTTTGTATCAATGACTTGACGATTTTGTGATAATGATACCAAGTTAAGAATTTCAGCAGTCAGAGAAAGAATGAATATTGTATATAATTAAATTTATCGATCGTTTCTCTTACTTCACAGTCGTTTACTCGTCGCGATTATTCTTTTTGTATTTACAAATTTGCGACGGTCTTATACATCACGGTTTTTATTTTTACGTGTATCTGGTTTTCGAGAGGAAAAAGGAATGTCATTCTTCATTCGCTTTAAGAATTTTATTGAGAAAGAGGATGGTAAAAACAATATCTATCGATTTCGCTCTCGAAGATATTACATAATCATTCGATAATCCATTATATGAGATAAATTTAAAACTAAGATGTTATATTATATATGATATATAATTTTTCGTTATCTGGTTACAACTCATTTTAGCGAAAATTCTTTTTCATCGAATTCAAAAATAAAATAGAAAGAGAAGCAAAATGTTTGACAGTGAAAAAAAAATTTTATATGAATCCATCGATTATTGGATCGTCGAGTTAGGCTGCGCTCAATACAAATGAAAGCAGCAATCGAGAAGTCGTCCTCGATCAATCGTAACGGCACCTTGTCTCGTTCTTCTTTATTAAATGAATTTCCTAGCAAGTTGACCTACAGATTACTTTTGCACTTCCAATTGGCACGTCTATCGTCATCGTCTGTTATTATACATACACACATACATATATATACATATATATATATATATATATATATATAGTATATGTACAATTTATTGGAATTTCTCATATAAGAGAATATATTACGTATATCTATTATATCTATTTACGATGTAAACCGATATAATATTTTGACGGATACATCTCCATAGACAATAGTATCGACATCGTTGAAATTGTTTATCGAATAAAAATGAAAATATTACATTGCAATAAGGATTTATTTTTATTTTATTTATTATTATAATTATAAATATCTATTATCTAATATGCTCTGTTGCATTAATTCATCGCGATTAAATATCGAACGAAGAGAGAAATTGTATCCTTTTACATATTACGTATATATAATATATATGTATATCGTAATTGTACGATCTTTCGTGATGGAAATAGATTTTGATTACATATCGAAGTTGACAACGGATTGACTATTTGCTTCCTGACAAAACTAGGAAGGAAGTCAATTACAAATTCTCACGTGCATTTTCATGAAATTAATCATATACATAAGAGTTCCCTCGATTCGAAATAATCTATTGTGTTTTAATGGTCATGTCACACGCTCTCGAGCCTTGAACACGTAAATCGACCTCGAACCGGATCTCACATCCGTTCTTTTTTTTTTTCTCTCTCTTTTCTTTTTATTCCTTTCAGGAAGGGTAATATGGAATTAAATAGGGGTGGCGGGATCTCGCGTGTCTCTGCATGTGTATGTAAATCCCATTCTATGCTCATAAACGGACCGAAATGCACCGTCTACGAGCATTCAACCAGTACACAAGAGAGATAAATTTCTCTTCGAGTGGCGCATTGTGTCGTAATAAAAATTCTTTTGACGGCCATTTAAAGAAACACAAAAATAATAGGAAGCGTGTTTTATCGAGCGCAATTTCTATCATGGTCTCGTACTCTTCTCCTCGCTTCGCTATTCTCGACTGGTGATTCGTACAAGAAATAACGTGCAAAATGTTACGCGTTCAGCAAATTTTTCTTATGCGATAACTCATCGATTCTTCTGCTTATATATATATACATGCGTAAGTACCTGTATTTGGGCACGCATAATCGAAATTTGATGGTTTCTTTCAAACGTTTCACGTTTCATCCTACCATTTTTTTCATCCAAATAGAATCCTCCTACGTAATCGAAATTAATTCACGCCTATTTCCATACTCGCCACGCTTCGATTTCGCTTTCGTTTTTTTTTTTTTTATCTTTGATTCGATTAAAATTTATAATTGTTAGTTAACTGTTACACGCAATAATCGATATTCAAAAATTTTTTTCTTATCGGTCTGAGAGCGTTACGGCTTTCGTGGTGCAAAATGAAAACACAGGACTATGCCTACATAGTTCACTCGGTACGGTTCTCATTCGTTTCCGGTCATGCGATTCTGCCCTTAATTAATCGTGACGTCGAGAACGTACTATTAAATTTTCTTCTTCCACGATTTTTTTTTTTCTTTCTTCTTTTTTATTTTTTTAATTTAATAAGCAAAGCGATAAAACCACATCCACGAAAATGTGTGTCGTTATCTCACATTACGGGATGCTTTATTTTTCATGGGCGAAACCGGAAGCTTCGGGATGCACGACTACTATTGTCATGAGCCACTGTTTATCCTTCACGATACGTTATCTTATCCGCTAGTCCTTTACCTCTGTTGTCCACATAGATAAGTCGGCTAGGCTTAAATTCTCTCGTGTCTCTTTTTCACTTTTTTTTTTTTCATTTATTTATTTTTTTTTTCTTTCATTTATTTATTTTTTTTTTCTTCAGATTTTGAAGACGTAAGTAAAAATGAATTAGGAAAAATCCAAAAGTCATATTTCAATGTTAATAAAAGTTGGTTGGGATAAAAAAAATGATGGAAATCGCTTGCACGACGAATCAAGTTTCCTGTGGAAATAATTTTGCAGTTGGTAGTGTTTTACTGGATTACCAAGATGATATCGGTAATTTTACCACGGTAATTAACGCTACTTGCCGATAAAAATACCAAGGATTCGCGTTCACGTTTCTCTTTTCCGGTAGAGTTTGTGAGATAGAAGAGCAATTAATTACAGGCCTCGTTAATCAGATCTATTGTATATGCTCGTGCATTTTTATGGGTATGTGTATTAACCTTGTTTAGAGGTTAGACTTATCTTATCGATATACTAATCGTTCTATCATTCGAATATCGTTTCGATACAATTATTTTTTTTATTTTCTATTTTTTTTCAATTTTTTATTTTTAAGTTTCGAGAAGAGCAACACGAAAATAATTCTCCTAAGATTCTTCCATTGAAGCGTAAAAGCTAGACGAATAACGTCTGTGACTACTCAGACGTACAGCCTACACATCATTTTTCAGTCTTCCTTATCGAACAGTTGTTTCCTCTTTTTTTCGTCTTCTTCCTCTTTCTAGTTTTTTTCTTTTACTTCTAATTTTTAACCCTTTCTTCTATATCTTTCTATACATATATTTTCCATGTTAAAGTTAATTGCAAAATTTAAATTCAATTCGATGTTATTTGATTTCTATCCAATTTCAACGAATTAGAATAATAACGCATGATCATCGTGCATTCGCGATAAAGTAAGTTAACATTCTCGAAAGTCTGCTTATCGAGGCAATTTAAACGAAAATTAGAGAACCATGATTCGTTTTGACCATACAACATGATTTAGTTACCGGCCAATTACGCTACTTTCATTAGTAAAGTTTTCCCGTGGAACAAGCGGCGCAAAGCGGCCAGACAACTGTCTGGTTCCTGGTTTTCTTCTTCCCTGATCGTACACACAATCTATATATGCGCACATATATGTGTACGTACCTATTAGGCATTGTAAGTAACCACGTGAGAAACGACAAGCTCGCTTTACCTCATCCACGTCTTTCGACATTATTCTCATTATCCTTTAACATCCTTTTTCAGCATATTTAATGCTACATATTGACGCTGACCGCGTGAAATCTTTCTTTGTCTGTTCGTTACCATCGTTACATATATATATATATATATATTTATCGTAGAAAATGTCTTATACATAGTAACTCAACCATCCTCAAGTGTCGAGAATCTTATTGCTCGAGATAAAAATTAACACTGATACGCGACGTCCATTGTTACGGAATTAAGAATTTCTGTTCAAATAATATAGCCGATTGATGGCACCACGAGCGCCCTCTGTCCAATCTTCTGTTCATATACGCGAGATCTCGGTTTGTGGTTGAACTTTAATGAATTTCAATTGATTCGTCTTCTCTCGTTTAGAAGAGCACATCGTGGTGTGGCTGTGCTAAGCACCGCGACGTGGGTCGATTTTATGAGACGGACGTGACTCTACCGGTATCTTTTCTCAGATGTACGATTTCTATGCAGTTTTGGTCTCGCTTGGTTTACGATTCCTTCCGTTTATGATCAGGATAAGGCAAGACACGAATCATAAATTTCGATGACTCGGTTTCCTCTACTGCTGGTATTATAATTATTATAAACGGATGTGAATGTTGGACTTTTATCCCGGAAATCGAATCGTGCGATATCTATTATTATTCGCGAATAACTATGTGCAAATTAGGTTAGGTTAGGTTAAGTGTGCGCATGTACTAATAGCATGCGCCAATTTTGCTACTAGAGATTTTTGCGATTGAAATAAACAACATAATATTAAAAGAAATGCATAAGTATAAATCGTTGTTCCTACGAAAGAATATGATGTGTTAAGAAAGAAGTGTTTGCCGAGAGATATTTGCTGATCGTTCAAGTCGCGGAGTGAAAACACAACCAAATTTCCATACTCTACTTTATATGTACTACGACATTATTCCGTTAGAAAGCACATTGTTTTTCTTTTCTTAGCTTTTGTTCCTTCGGCTCATCATCCTTGTGTGATAGATGCACGCACAAGTGTGCTTCTTTCTAATTTCTTTTTATACGTCACTCTCTTGTGTTTCCATCGTTCTAAAGGGTTCTCTCACTATGGAAATTGCACCATTTTAAACTTCTATATGCATACATAAGTACCTATATAGATGCGTGTATATGTATACATACGAATACAGTATGGAGCAAACTTTTGCGAACAATAACTTTTTTCTTTGTAGTGTCTTTAAGATAAAGTAACGTGACATTAAAAATTCAAAGTTAAACGAATACCTTTTTCTTAAAAAGTTGAAAAAAATATTTCAACTTGCTAGATTGTGAAAATATTAAAATTATTAAAGATCGAGATGAAAAATTTCGATTATTGAGTTATTAATTTTAAATTACTAGTCATTTTCCAAAGAATCAAGTATTCAAATATTGAAATCAAATTTAGCAATAAAAAATTGTAAAAAATATCTTTTTTATCTGTAAAAAAGAAATCGTGAAATTCATACACATAAATATAAATATAATATCTAGTAGTAGTATATACGAATTACTCGATATTATTTGACTGCTCGTAAAAAAGCGCCCCCTTTCAGATTCGGATAACAATAGCATCTATGGCGTTTCTGAGTCAAAGTTTTGAAAAAGTTTTTCACTTTACATCCAATAATATATGGAATCACCAACTTGAACAAACATCAAACATTTGCGGATTGAACCGCGATCGATATTAATTTATTCGCAGCGAAAGCAGTTCTCTGATTTTACCTCGATTCTCAATTTCAATTATTGACCGTGTTCCATCGGGTTACGTAAACCATGTTGTCTTACTTGCCAAAAGTATTTCGATCGATCGTTTTAAACAATTTTTCGTAATAGTTGTTCGATAAGCTCAAAGATATCGTGAAAAATTATTAATACGTTGTTTACAAAGTGTGACAAAATTTGTGATTAATTAATGATAAAAAAAATAGAAAAGATAAATTAGGTTAGGTATATGCGAGGTCGTTAGGCCAACACCTGACGAAGAAAATATGTTCACATCCCATCGAAGTCGGACTACCGCTGCGATATTCAAGGATCTGAATGTCGTTCACGCACACTTTCTTCGTTCATGGATGAACAAATGATCAAACGACCCTAAAGTAAAAAAAAAAGGTGAACTCGCTTGTTTATCGGAGAGAGAAAAAAAGATGGAGGCGTGAAGTTCGTGAACAAGAGAACGAAATGTGTAGTCAGTGAAGAGAGAGAATGACGCATGGTGGTGCGAGAGCGAGAAGGAAGAAAAGTCTGTTGCGCGCGAGTGCAAGGGAACGAATGGAAGAGAGTGACAGAGAAAGAGAGAGAGAGAAATAGAGACGAAGGATGAAGTGCGTGCGCGTGTCGTATTCGAGAGAGACACGGTAGCTTCTCATAGAGAAGAGACAGTTGCTGGTTTGCCGCAAGGCTGTTTGCATCGAAGAGGCGAAAGTTACACCAAACGGGGTCCACACCCCATTTTTCGTCCTTCATCGTGTTTCGTTTCATTTTTTTTTCTTTTGGTTTTATTATTATACGATGTTTCGTTCCACGCCATTTAGCTCGACGTGATCGACTTATCGAGACGACGGATGTCGATTGATTGTCGCGCGATTTCGCGTCGAAACGTGCTATCGATTACGCGGAACGTCTTACGAAGGCTCGATAAACAGTGGTGTGATGTGTTGTGATGATTATTTGCGTTGATTGTGATCGTCCAAGGTAAAAGACGATCATCCATTTTCATCGTGAACGCGATCTTGACATGGAAATTGACGGGGTTTGCAATTAGGTCGCGAGAATCGGTCAAGTGTCGATCGAAGTGTAATTTTGGAAAGATCGTGCGAACGATGGAAAAAATGTAGATGAAAAAACATGGCAAACTAGCATATCGAAGAAAAAACTGTTGAAAATTAATAGCGTTATGGTTACCATGTGTATAGTTGAAGCAGCTTCGCCAGAGCCAGAAGTTCTTGATTGGTGCAGCAACCGGGTTCCATGACTCGTTCCGAAAATAATCGTCGTATTTTTACCGTCTCTTTATGCCCACTTCAGTGCCGCTGGAAGCCGCGTAAAGTGGCGTTAATTCGACGTGAAGCAATACGAACGTTGTCACGCCTTCGTCATTCCAACGAGAAGATGCAATTATTCATCATTGTTTTGTTCTTATAAAGAGATCGTCAATTTTGTTATCGTAATTCCATTACAAATTTTGTTAATTTTATTAAAAGATATTTTGATTTTCTTTGAAGAATAACAAAAATTTAATTTCTACTTAATTTTTTTCTCGACGAAACAGCGCTAATTTTTCCGTAATGTTCACGATCTACTTATAACCTACTCGCGTGGCGGCATATTGCTATATATATATATATATATATATATATGTCGTCTGTCGTCTGATCTTCGATAAATGCTGCTTCCTCGTAGCCTTATCTGAGCTTTCTGTCACGCGAAACTTTCGCCACCACGGCATCCAACTATTTATTTGCTCGCATTTCACCCAGGCACAATGCACGTCTGCCAACGTCCACGTATATACGTATATATATTCGAATGAATACCTCTTCGCGACACATGTATAGAAGTTCGTCGTCACTTAGCTTTTCACGCGTTAAAACACAATTGAGAAAGTAAAATCGTAAGATCTTTCGATGATTGATGTATCCTATAATTTTTCGAGGATTATATCGATTTTTATAGATTATGAATAAACGTGTAACAGGAATCCAAAGTATGGTTGAATGATAAAATTAATCGATTAATCGATTCGACTTGGATTGAACGAAACATTCTCGATTTGTTTCGTTCAATCTGTCGCATCACTGGAACGAAACAGGGAAAAGAAAAAGAAGAATAAGATTGGCGGAAATGTCACGGAATTTAAGACTTCTTCTCACGTTCCATTCGTTATATCAAAGTTATTTCGCTTTAGCTCATCCACCTCTAGGAAAAATGACTCATGAGGCGCATTAAGTACAAAAAAAAAAAAAGAAAAGAAAAAGTGCTAACAAAAAAAATTTTTTCATTCTAAATAAACACATCTTTTGATTGCGCATATTTTTGCTACTTGATCGAAATTTTATCTTCGAATCTTCGAATTTTTGATTCATCGATGACTAAAAATCGAAACTTAGATTAAACGAACAAAAAAGAAAGTTGATCACCTCGCTCCATCATCGAATTCGAATTATTTATATTCAATATTAGATTTTCACTTCTCGTTTCATAACCTGTTATTCTTCGTTCCATCTTGATTTCGAACAATCCACACTCTCTTTCCACATTGAATTCACACACACTCTTTATCGACTGAAATGACACCGTATATACTGGCCAGGAATTTGGTGAAGGAGATACATTTTTCCTTTAGATTGGCGATCGGTGCAGGTGAATGAATCCTTGCGATTCGCATTCGCCTCTTTAGCTTGTCCGTCGACCCTAACTAGCTATTTATATACACGAGCTTCTTGTCTCTATGCTCGTTCTTGTGCTTCTGCGTATCTATCTTGAAAAGATAGGTATAGTATAGATCTGCGCATGTTCACGCACTGACGAATCCGCTATTCGCTCGCTCGTGACCATGCGCAATCACTTATAAGCAACGAAGATATCGATTTATAGAAAATAGAATATACGAAATATAGAATATTTCGTATATCGATTAAACTCGTTATAAGAACGAATTGATTTACATCTATAATCATATTTTATTTTGAATCGCGTGATTTAGGTCTACGTTTTACAGGATCTCTTTTGAAAGCACACAGAGCCACGCGACTTTTTCTGATGCATCGTTATATAAATAATATTTATTAGGACCGATCATTTTCTATCGCTCGTTTTTGTTTTGTATATTTTTAGATAAAAAAAAACAAATGAAAGATAAAGTTCCATGACATTTTAGATATCATAGATTTTTCTTCTGGTGGTAATTGGCAAAATTACCACGAAATTAAATCTAAATCCGTGACAAAAGTGAAAATACTCGACTTCGATTTTCATACGTTCGTCACGTGATTTTTTCCTTTCGCTACCCTCTTCTCGTTGCGCGTCGTCGAGGCAGGGCACGTTCACGAAGAAGGAACAATTGCCGATGTTCCATCCGTTGAATCACCTGTCAATAGCCGTCGAAAAAGGAAATAGGAGTAAGCGCACCATGCTCACCGCCATGTTGGACCACCGTCGTCACTCGGCAAATATGCTCGCAGCATAATTATTAAGGGCGCAGCTGCGAGATGGCACGTACACCTTTTTTCAAAACCACCGCTATGCACCTCCATCACGCGACTACGTATTCCTTGCGTGTATATAGTATTGGTTGGAACGCGTCCGCAACCAGGGACCGGAAGTGTCGCGATACGCCATCCGCAACGTCGTTTATGGTCACTGCATATCGTTTTCCGATCGAGCAATTTACTCATAATGGTCGTTTCGTGTTTTCTTAACTTACAAATTAGATAAAAGTCTTGACGAAAGAGTAGCTATAATATTAACGCAAGAATAGTTATTTATAACTATTATATATTATAAACCTCGAAGTTACATATGTTGGATCCAAGAGGGAATATCAACTCGAGTTTTCTTTTAAATAAAATATTATCGATGCTAATCGAATTTTTTTTTTGTTTTTCACTCGGAATAATTTTAACTTAAAAGAAAAGCTAAAGCTTCAAAAAGCTAAACTATGTATGTAACCAATGTTTTCTGAAGAGGGGATTAATTAAATTATACATTCCTTCTTTAGATACCGTACAAGTTTGTAGCTTCAAAACCAACGATTGTCATTGAAGCCCTTTTCGACAACAAATTTGCAATTAATCCTCGTCCGATGAATCGTCTCGCTTCTTCATTATCCTCTTACTCTAACCGTTAACTTGTAGATCGACGTGATACATCGCGATCGAATGTGCACGTAAGTCGGTAGTCCGTCGTTCGAATGCTCGTACGCGTTGGTGCGCGTGTGAAAGTAACAATGCGTGGAACCGGTGTCGTACGTTTCGAGCAGGACGAAACGCATCCGAATCAATTGCTCGATGCCCATTGTTCCTCCTATCGCACGCGAGTGGTTGGTTCGATGAACTTGGAGATACTTTTGTTCGTGTGAATCGTAACACGGCGCGAACCTATCGGCATTTTATTTATTCCTCGGTTCGTTTTGTTCTGGAGGAAGAGGGCCGCTTTTGCCGTTGCTCGATACACGAGCGCCGCATTTATCATCCGTTCTATCGAGCCGTGCGAAAAAGAGAGAGGAGCGTCGACGTGAATTAACTCGTTGACTCACGTCCTCATAATTTTCCGTCGTCTCTTTAAAATTTAGTCTACGGGAGAGTACTTATAGTTGCATTCGTCCCCTCGTCGAATTTAAATATATCGAGGAAACGGATATATATATATATTTTTTTTAAAGATTTTATAAAATATTTATAAATTCGATCGATTTGCGAGATCTCTGTCTATTTATACGTATAATTTTACGATTTATGAAATCGAGACGTATATCCAATTACAACCAATGGTAATTTAAATCGATGATATAATAGTCAATCGCGAGTATACTCGTATATTCTAACATGTTTTGTAATTAGTATATCTTTTTTTGATTATTATTTCTGTATTTCCGTTCCAACGTATTTTTTTTACTGCACGCAAAAAAATAACGGAACGGAATTTAGATAAATGGAAACGGGAATACGAATTACGAAATACATATAATTTGACAGCGTATTAAGAAGGGATCGCGAAATAATTAAACACGTTACATTTCGTGTAAATTCTCACGTCCACGTGGCTGTTATCTGTCTGCTTCGTGTGACATACGTAACAACGAAACGAGCCGATAGGAAAAACGTTGGTGATAAGCGGATGATAAGGGATGATGCTCGTTGTCGGTCGCGAACCGGATGACGCGTATAAGCACGTATGTCTATGTGTGCTTGCGTATAGTACAGAGTTCAAGGCCGTCTCTCATCCACCGAACCGTGTAATTACTGAGAAACTTACTTTTGCGAAAATACACGCACTTGGGGAAGGGAAACTCGACAAAAGGAATGTAGAATGTATGTAAAACACAAGAAAGATTCGCATTTTTTTTCTTTCTTTTTTTTTTTTTTTTTTACGAAGTTGTTGAATTTTTTCTCTCTTTCTTTCTCTCTTACTCGTTTGTTAGCGACAGCTGTCAGCAACGATAGACCTTCGGTTCGGCCGTGGATCGATAATTCAACATTCTCACGAAGCCTTCTCTTCTACGAAGAGAAGGAAACGAATGGACAGAACAGGATGAAAAGGGGTTGAAAAGAGGGACGCATGGAAAATAGCGCGCGCTCTTCCCATTCGCACACACTAATTTGCATTCGAGATGTATAGAGGGAATCTCTCTTTTTTCGACAGGAGGGGGGAGTATTTCGCGGAGTAAAGTAACAGGATGAACGGGAAACAGGGTTGATGATGACGTTGTCTCGAAACGAGCCGACACGGTGTTTCGGACGGGCGATGAAATATTCGATCGACATGATCGAACGTTTCGAAAATGGGAACTTTGATCGAAGAGGAGAGAGAGAGAGAGAGAGAGAGAGAGAGAGAGAGAG